AGCCAGGAAGAGACTCATAACTTGGCTATAAAGTCTCCAGAGAAAAATTGAAGGGTTTTATAATATTGCTGGATTATTAATAACTGGATTTCTTCTCTAGGTTGGTATAAATTTTGATGTACAGGGTAATGTGTAACACTATCAATGCTCCTTTCATGGCATATCAAAATATCATAATAACAATTATACAAGTAGGTATTTCTATGGCCTCTAATCCAGTTTTGGGAAATCCTCTAATTTAAAGTATTCAAGCAGGCTAGGTCAACTTCAAGACTGAAATAAGCTTTGTGGTCTCTTTTAGTATTGTATACAATAGACAGCCTGGAATCTTGAGTTTATGTGGATAGACTAAGGTCTGAATTATTTAAAAACTGTTTCTGTTATAATTTGCTTATTAGATAAAAGACTCAGAAATGCATTAAACATCTAGAAGCCCCTTGGAACCAGAGCAATGTATGAGGATGGATGGCAGATAATGTGGTAGAGGACTGTCTGCCTAGATGCCATTGAGTGTCAGTGAGAAAATATGAGAAGAATACTACTATATGTATGTTCCCCCACTGCTAGGCATGCCATTGCATAATCCCTAGCTCCTTTCCTCATGGGGAATGGGCATCTCTGCTCAAAAAATTCAAGAAGATTTGCTTTATCAAATGCTCTTTAGTTGAGCATTACATGAAAACCAGCTATTGAAAGTAAAGAGAAAGGGAACACAGGGTCTCCAGCTATGTCACATTCACTTACTTTAATGTTCACAATACTTTAGTCTTCTGAAATCTCTACAATAATGTTGAGGAAAAGAAGCTCAGAAAGATTAAATAACTTGGAGAAAGTCATCCCTAACAAGAAGTTAACCCAGCTGTCTCATAGATCTAACACAATTGCTATTGGTCATTGAGTTGTCAAAAAAAAAAAATGGAGTAGATTTTCAAACATCTAAAACTCAAGTTAAAATAAACTAATTTAAAAAGAAAAAAGGAATCCAAAGTAAACACATCAGAGAATATCTAGTTTTAACTAAGTGTCATTCTTTCTATATACTATGCTGCCTCTGAAACTTCACAGCACTGTCTTTGTTTGCTGTCCTTACACAGAATAGAAACTTGTTCTTCTTAACACTATATATAGTCATGGTGATTAAGAATGCATTTTAAGTCACTGAGATAATTAGTGTTTTTATGAACCATCAACTCTTCTTGACCATTCAAAGCACCTGGTCTAATCTCCTACTTAAACAAAAATATGTTCAAAATCACAGAGGTAAACGGCCATCCAGATTTTATCTGTCTTCTTGGAGTAAAAGAGAACTTGCTCTCTCAGAGGAGATAGTGTCACTGTTGGGTCACTGACATTTTTCTTTTCCTAATAGTGAGGGTTCCACTATTTCCACCATCTTCACATTCAGTCAAATAAAACGTATGAACAGTGAAAGGACAGCAAACTCACAGTTATTAAGAAATAATGAACAATTTTCCAAGCAACCAATATAGTTGCATTCCACTGGTCCTAGAGTTGGGATATCTGGGTTCTTGTGCTGATGTCCTAACTTGCTATGTGACTCAATGTTTATTTCCCTTGGATTCTGAAGCCATGCTTTAAAATGAGATGGTTGAACTGAAGTTTTAAGATAGTTTCCAGCTTTATCAGTTTGTGTTTCCAGTTGCCTTATAACCCTACCTGCTCTTTGGTTGTGATCATGCTGTCCAGTCCTTAGAAAACAAAAGAAATTTAGTCCACAGAGGAAAAATTTCACAGGCCACCCCTATGAATATGGATAGGGAGGAGACAAACTAAAATGGAAATACAGTAGAAGCATGTGTGTGTATGTCTGTATGTCTGTATACACACTCCTACTCTGCATCTACTAAACCAAAAGAGATGCCTCATTCTCAACTAATTAGTGCTCAGAATATTGTATTACCTGCATTATTTCTAAATATATGTGGGGAAAAGACTAAAGGTCATATTTTAGAGAATCCACACTTCCTTTCAGGTTTAATGAACTTACTTTTGGAAATGAATGAGCTTCTTCAGCTTACTTTTTCATGCAGGCAAAATTTAAGATTCTCCACAGACTTCCCTCTCACAAAGTTTTGTTTTGTTTTGTTGTTAACTACACAACCAGGTGGCATCCACCAGCTGATGACTTTTTGTATTTTAACACTGTTAAAGCTATGGATTTCCTTTCTTCTTTATAGTGAAAGAACAAAATTTTATGGACAGTTATAAAATGCATATTTTAATGCAAAAGTCAATTTTCTCTGATTAAAATGATTTAGGTCTGAGTAAATACTTGCAGAACACTTACTGGTTTTATAGCTAGGACACAATGGAACCTATAAAGTTCGTCTTTAGAGGTATGTGGTATAATGAGTACCATTCAGAAGTTATCAACTGCCCACTGTCCTATCACCAGGACAAGCAAACATCAGAAATAATCAATCATCTAAAAATATGATGCTAGTGTGTGAACCCCTGACCCGGATGACTAAAACACCTCCTCGGGACTTGTCTGGGACCAGCAGGGCACTATGGCATATTAACAAAGACAAGCCGCCCAAATTCTCAAAATTTATTTATTTTTTCTAACGTCTAGGATGTTGAAGTGGCTAATTATATCAGGGGTAAGCTGCTTCGCAAATAGGACTTTAGTGTCAAAGCTGTTTTGAAGTTGTGTGCATACATTTAAAAGGACCTCCAAATGACCAAATTTTATTTCACTTGCAAATCTTTGAATGAATAAATATGGGAGTGGTGAACAGCCATTTCTGGACAGAGGGTTTTATGTCAAATGTGAACGAACCCATATCAAACTTTCAAGGCAACTTGTGAACCTCTGACACTAGGGAATTAACAGAACATCAAATCCAGCAAGATCACAGGGGCACAATCCTTATGCAAGAAAATAATGCCATTGAGCCCTCATTAAAAGACCATTTTGTCTCCAGCCATCAAAGACTGCAAGTGCATGAAGAGCTTGGTTATATCATCAGGGATAACCCAAACAAGTGCCAAGAGCAATTGTGCACTTAGTTCTCACATGTGTCCATCTGTTCACATATAAACAGATATTCTGCTTTCTGTCTGATTCCTAAAATCTTGATATCAGAATGCCCTGGGCTTTTGCCCATTTCCTAAGAATGCAGACATCACATAAGCTACTATTAACCCATATGTGATCCACATCCATGGTGGCTGGAAACCAGCCAGGTACAACACATGGTGCTTGGTTAACAATGTCTTAAAATATAAATGAATTTATTTTTTAAATTAACACATTTTTCTTATGGAAATACCTTAATAAGACCTTCTGCATGTAAAAAAAAAATAGCCTCCATGTGGATTTTTTTTGTTCTTTTAAGACATTTTGCAAGCGTATCATAAAGTTAACCATAAAAGTTTCTGAAACAATCCAGAATTTCTTGACAAATTTTTAAAAGGACTCTAGTAAAGAATTTTGGGGACTTTATATAACAAAGATCAAACACTTTTCCTTTACAATATTCTGTTCTCAGGAGGCAACCCTTATATTTTAATTTACGTGAAAACACTTCTGATTTCCCAAGTTTCTACATAACCATCTTAATAGCACCGCAGCCACTGAACTGCTACAGTGATGGAGAGAATCGAAGTTCTACAACCTAGCAACCAAACAAGTTAGGTTAATACCAGGTGGAACCTTTCACTCCTGCTCTGGGGGCTCATTTGTGGTGACCCCAAACCTGAAAAAGCTTGTTTAAAATGTACACATATAAATAATTACCCGCACTGCATTTGATTTACAAATGTACAAAAGAACCAATTCCCACCTTGGAAAGCATCTTAACACTCATGGCTTTTTAACTGCCATAATTGTGGCTAAAGAAAGATCATTTAGAGCCCTGACCACGTTATCAACTGATAACCAGTTATAGTCCCTAAGTAGTGACAGAAGAAAGCCCTATCGCAAGTGTTTCCGAGAGTGAATGTCCAGTACTTGACCACTTTTAAAAAGACTTCTCTTTAAATGAAATACACAATACACCCACAAGGCAACATGAGATGAATGAAATCCTAAGAAAATAACTCTGTCCCCTCTTGTGCTATCCACTCCCAGCCACAAGAGCCAATTGGCCATCTACAACATTGCCCAAAGTCAGTGTACACAACTCCTTCCAGAGTGAAGTGTTCCATGAACCGAGACAGCTGTGGATCATCAACGGAGGGGAAAAAACTCCATGTATGCCATCATGAACTAAATTAAGTATCCACACCGTACTATTGGGCTTTTCTAAAATAACTGTTTTTGCCAGCTCAGTGCTAGGAATTCCTGATACCCAATAGCCAATATTTGACCAGCCTAGCATGTTTCTGAACTCTTCAACATACAAACCTCTGCTTAACATCTAGCTATGCTGTTGTCATACATATTACTTCCTGTAATATGTGATGATGGAAACTCAGGCATCTTATAAAGTTGCTGAGATCTGAGCCTCTGCTTGTTTTCTCAAGTCTTGGACAAACATAACTTTAGAGAGAGCAGAGCACAGGCATAAAGAAAGAGGAGACTGCATTTTCATCTTCCTTTCATCTTAGTCATTCAGTCAGCCACTCAGGACCCTATTCACCAGAGCATTTCATTATGCAAAAAAATGCTAATCCTTTTCCGATGCTTTCACACTTGTATAAAACCCCATTCCTTCAACTGAAAAGCAATTATATCAGTTTACCTTTCTGTCAAAAACAGCATTAATACTCCAATAACAATCTCTTTTCTTTTTCCTATCTTCTTGCTTTCGGAAACTAGAGAATATTAGTAAAGGCATTCTGAGAAGAAGAATACATTAGTTGAAATATGATGATGTTAATCAATGGGTTGAAAAGGGAGAATACTTAAAAGAAGACAAAGTCCTTCAGTTACTGCAGCAACTCTTCTCTGGGGCAGAACCGACCTTCCTTCTGCTGCTGCCTAGAGACTGCAACTCACTCTGGTCTATTAATCAGGAACAAATTATGAAAGAATGTCGCTGGACTGGTTGACACCATCCCATCTTGGGAGACTCATGAACAGCCTAGTAACAATGTCCTCTTCATGGGTAATGAACAGCCATGACAAATGGGGCAGAGCAACTATTTATTTGCATATGCAAATACTCACACAGGGGAAACATGTACAAACAAGTGTCATTGTAAGGTGGATTAGGCAAACAACGCTTTTTTTTTTTAGGACATTCTGCAGCCCAGAACATTAGTCAGCACAATTAAACCAGTCTCCATGGAGACTAATGAAATTTTGCCATGGTATGAGTTAAATTAGATAGCTAGTTATGTGTTTCCACAATCCAACTTGAAATCCATTATGGTTTCAGAACAATACAGCAATTGTACCTAGCTGATCTTTGCCAGCTCAACAAGCTCCTAAATTGACAATTTGCATATGTTAATATAATTAAGCACTAATTACATGAAACTTGTACATATTCACAGACACTTTCCCTGGACGCTTTTCAGTTTGAACCTTGGCCAAGGCTTTAACCCTTGGAATGGTCTTAGAAGAAAAAAACTCTGCCTGTGGGTACGTACAGCCTCTGGGCAGAAACAGAAAGGCTCCTCATTTATAAGCACAAAGCTTAACCTGGCTTCTCAAATTTCCAGCAACAATGACAGAAAATATTTGGTGAGTGTGCTAGGACCAGGGAAAGGGGGGAGAAGGGATGGATTAGTCTTTAAAGACTCATAACAAGTATCTTTTCAAAGGCAAGCAATGACATTCATTTCGAGAAAATGTTAAGAATTTGCTTTCACTGACAGTGTCGAACCTTAGGAGATGAAAATGGTTTGACAACAGCAAAAATAGCAAGTAGACAAGGAAGAAGGAGCCAGCAGCACCTAATGAGCTTTACATAAATATATGCAGAGGCAATTAAGCAATGTTAATTACTATGACAGCAGTTAATTGAATATAATTAGATATTTTAAGCCACTGAATAAAGCATAGTTAAGATTAATTTTATTGAGATTAATTGTAAATAAGGATAGATTAACTCTGTTTTGACAGGCATAAAAAAGTAGTTCTGCAAATTAAGCAGAAGCATGACCACCAGCCCCAAAATCATATATTATTTTAATGTCACACCTCAGAATCATCTCCTCAATAAACACGACTTTTCAAACCCAAACAGACAGGAATCTTGAAGAAAAACAAACAGCTTGCAGAGATTAAAGAGCCTTTTGTCCTTTTTCATGTGCATTTCTTTAAACAGACTAAATTAAGCGAGTCTGGTGTACGTTTTTTAGGAAGGAACATTTCACACTGAATGGAAAAAATGTTCTATCACATATGAAATTTGTGCAGCTGTGCGGAACTTGGTCCAGATGGTTTTAGACTATAAAACACCACCAAATGATAGACAGTAGGCCTTCCCAAGATTATGTGATAAAGTCACAATCTTTTATTTTGACCTCCCTAATTTCTGCTTTGTATCATTTCCAACCAAATCACATATTTTCTTTCACGAATGTGTTTCTCCAAGAGGGTTAAAAGAAGCATTGTGCCTACTGAGTGCTGGAAATAAATGTAAAGGGAAGGAAGGGCCTCCTTACACAGATAGAAGCTAAATCACTCAGCCACAAAATGCCAGAAGAGCTATGACAACAGCATATGCAGATGACAGCCCTTGAGTGTGACTCTTACCAACAATGGTGTCTAGAAAGATTTCTTAGGAAAATACCGCTGAATGAAAATCCCTCCCAAATACTTCCACACCCAGCTAATCCATGCCCCATCTTTAAGAAAATTAACACAGTCCTCAAGAATGCTGAACAAATCACTAATAAGAAAGGCACTTCAATTGACTTTGAAATAAATCAATAGATGATTAACATAATATTTTAAAGCAGCATCAGGTATGTGTGTGTGTGTATAACAGAAACATATATATTGTGCTCACAGTTCCTCTTAATCAAACAAGGGCTTTATGCCACTAAACCTGCCTCACAACTTCTTTAGGGTTCCCTCAGTCTTTACAACGAAAATCCTAAAATGGTCTGTGAAACAAGACTACGACAAGCCATTTTGCAGTGAAAGATTTTAAATCATCCAGCCTCTTCTAATAGACTTGAGACTTATTGAGGTAGAAACCATAAAAAATGAAGAAGGGAAATTTAATCCCTGAAATATTGATTTGCACATTAATATCATATAGGCAGAGGGCAATTTGGCTTCGTGGAAATGACACATTGTCGACCCTTGGTGAAGTCAGAGCCAATCTAACTGCTGAACATGTCTGAATCTCAAGAGTTATTAAGGGCCTCCCTTCTTGCCTTTATGACTTTTCTTCAGCCTACCAATGCAATCTTAAATGTATTATCTTTAAGAAATAATTGTAAAACCTCAGGGGTTTTCCAGTTAATGGAAGGGAGGCCAAACCACATCAGATTCTGAAATGCAACATTAAACCCTTGCAATCAACAAAAGCACCTCAATTCTCATCCATTCAGTGCAGGATCTAATATTGTTATTAAAGATAATCAAATTTCATTGTGTAAATTTAGGTTCATGGTCAGAATGGAAGCAGTAAATTCTGCAATATTAAAGAGCTATTTTCTCAGCCTCCTTTATGTTTTCCTTGCTGGTAGAGCATCTTCTCAAATAACTCATGTAGCTCAAAATAACTGAATAGGTTTGAGCTCATTTGCTAAAAACTGCAAAAGATGACAATAGAGCTGACAGGTTTCCTCCGGGTTTAACTTTAAGTGGCAACTTTCACTTCCTAGACCCAGAGTCCACTCTCCCTGTCTAACCCCACAGTTGGTGCTATGGCTTTGACTTAACACAGCTGGTTTACCTGACCTTTCTTTGTTCCTTAGGTACATTTCACTTTTTCAGATTTATGGGATTTCCCCCATATTTCATTGATTATATTTTCATTGCCATAATAATGTAAACACTTCAATATCAGCCTACTTTTTAAATCCAAAAGCAACCAGCTATTGAACAACACACTGGGATGCCCTCTCCCCAGTTTCTGACACAAACATTAAAACCATTAAAAAAAAATAACTGTATAAACCTTATGATCCCCACACTGAAGCCAGGTGCAAGAGGTTAAAACAGCTGGCTAGCCATCTTTTATTTTTGTGTGCCTTCCTGCTGATTGAAACCACAAACGTTGAAAACTATCAAATATTCCCTTAAGGATTTTTTTTTTTTTGAGAAGAAGAAGGAAGAAAAGGAAACCCTTCATTTTCTTTAATCTGCTCCTCTGTGAAGAAGAAAAAGTAAAAAACAGTCACAGAGGTAGTGAAATAATTGTGAATACCTCCTTTCTGTTGTATTTAAAACATCATTTCCAACAACTATGTACAATTGTTTTTATTCTTCAGTTAGAAAAGAGAAAAGAAGGAAAAAGAAAGAGAGAAAGAAAGTCGGAGCCCGCTCTGTCAGCTCTGCCAGTAAATATAAAGTAAAACAAGTGTGGATGGCACCGAGAGTGTTACATACCCGGGCTGTGTTTTTGCATTGCTCTCAATGGAAGCGATCGATGCCCGTGTCACTGTCGCGTCCCAATCGCAGCCAAGTCTCAGTCTTAATCTAAGCAACACCCGAAAAGGCAGCGGCAGCCGCAGCCTCTCCCTGACTCTTCCATCCATCCACCCAACTAAAAATATAATACTACATATGAGCTTTAAGCACTCCACGTTTATAGGGATCAAGCCACTGAAAATCCTGGAGAACACAATAAAAAAAAAAAAAAGCCTTCTGTCTCTTGTCTCTCTCTCTCCTCCCTCTCTTTTCGTCCTCTCTCTGCTCTCTCTCTGTCTCTCTCTCTCCCCCTTTCTCTCTCTCTCCTTTTGCCATCTACATGATCCTTGATTAAACATAGAACAGAGTTAATAAAAAAGGGGGGGTAAGGACCGAGGAGAGGAAATGCAACTGTCAGAAATCGGGACGGCCAGATTTCCTGGTGAACCTGCCTCTGTCTGAGTCAGTGTCAATCCACCATCTTCCGCCAGTGAACTTGTCTTTGGGTTTTTGTTTGGTTTGGGGGGGGGGCGGTTGTTGCTGTTGTGTGTGTGCTTTTTTGGGGAAGGGGGGAGGGGATAGGCAAGGTGGGGGCTGGCGGTGGGGGGAGCAAGGGGAACGTGTGAGTCTGTGAGTGTGTGTTGAGTGTGTGCAGGGGTCGGCTTTGGCGGGGGGGGGGGGGGGGGTCCGTGTGCGCGATCTGAACCTTTGGTACCTACAAGGAGAGTGTCTCACGGAACGGTAGCCAAGACCTCACCGGAACCGCGCGGAAGCGAGGAGTCTCGGCCCGAGGCGTCCGCGGGAGCCCGTTCCCGGGGCCGGACCCCAGCCCGAGCGCCCGCAGGAGCCCCCGCCCGGATCGCAGGTAACAAAGAAATACACACCAAGCGCACCGTCTTCTGAGGGGAGGGGGCCAGGAGGGGAGCCCTCTGGAACTTGGGCATCAGCGAAGAAACTTTACACGATCCATGAGACATTTTATTATTTGTTTTCCGATAGAACATAGCAGAAAGAATGGGGGAGGGGGAGGAGACCGAAGTAGAAGGAAGGCGAGACCCGACGCGCTCCAGCCCCCGAGCCCCGCGCGGCTCCCGGCCGGGAGGCGCACTCGGTGCGGGAGAGGCGCAGGGGCGAAGTTCGTTGGCAGACCCGGAGCCCCTTTGGAGGGGCCGGGGTAGAAATCGGTTCTCGCCGCCGGCCACAGACCCCCGCTTCCCCCTCCGCCCCCACCCCCGGTCCCCCGTACACACACGAACACACCTTGACCTCCACCAAAAAGGAAGGGAAAGATTCTGGACCCCGAGTCGCCAGCATCTACGCTCTAGTCTGAGGTGCGCCCGGCAGCCCGAGAGCCCGAGCGTGGCGGCCGCGTCCGGGCGGGTTCCCAGCCCCGAGGCCCGACGATCCCGCCTCCTAACGGACCTGCCTTCCGCGCACCCGCGTCCGCCCGCCTCCCGCCCGCGGGCGGCCGCCCCGGGCCGCGCCGGTCGCAGCCGCTCGGCGCCGGCGTCTCCCTCCGGCCCCGGCCCAGCCCGCGCGCCGGCCTCCCGGAGCCTCCGCCGCGGCGAGCGCGCGGACCGCGGGCCTCCGCGGTGCCGGCATCGGCGCTCTCCTCGGCTCTCGAGAAAACGAAGGGGGGCGGTAGGAGGAGGCAGAAAAATCGGGACTGAGCAAGGGGTGGGGTTAGTGGGGCGAGGGGCTGCGACCCCAGCGCCCGAGGTCCAAACTTTCGGAGGACGGGTGTGGAGGAAGGGGCGTCGCATCCCGGGCACCCGGCGGGTGGGGACCCCGGCACCGCCCGCGCCGCCGCGAGCTGACAGCCTCCAGCGCCGGCAGGAAAAGCCCGGGCTCGCGGTTCAGACCGAATCCGAAAAGACCGAAAACGGGAGAGCCGACTGCTCGGCCCAACGTGGGGGTCCGCCACTTAACCCAAAAGTTCAACCCCGAGAACGCGGTCCCCCGAAGTAAGTGGGAAATCAGGCCCCTCCGGGCCCCCTCCCTCCCTCCGCGGAGCAAATCCCGGAGCCAAAAAAGGGGGAAAGAGATAGAAAAGGGGGGCAGAGCGGGCGGGAAGGTCGGGATGCGGGGACGTGAGCGGGAGCGAGCGAGCCGGGGGCAGAGGGAGAGGCGGAGAGGGAGAGAGCGAGCGAAATATCAGAGATTGTGCAAGATCAGGCTGGAAAGATAATCGATACTCGACCTAAATTTAACACAAACTACTCAATAAAAGTTAAAGAAAAAACTTACTTTCCATTTCCCCTGCAGTTCCTACGCGATCTTCGCCTCTTTTTTTTGTTTTGCTTTTATTTTACTTACAGCTGATCACATCCAAGTAAAACGAGAGGGTTCATTTAAAAAAAATTTTTTTTAAAAATTAAAAATATAATCCTCGAACTTTATTGGGTGGAAATAAAAATGCTGGAGCAGAAAGTGGGGGGCATGAAGCGGTCCTCGGGGGTCCGGGAGAGTTAAAGCATGTGCCCACCGCGGTCTCGCTGTTTGGTTGTGAAGGGGTTGGGAAAAGGAGGAAAGGAAATGAAAATCCGATATGTCTTTATTCTGCTAATTATTATCGTTTTAGCCCTGTTTAAAAAAATGGCTGATTAAGTTGAGTGCGCATGTCTTTGTGTGTCTATTCCCGATATGCACTCTGGGAATGAGAGAGGAGAGCGAGGGAGAGGGAGAGGGAGAGGGGGGAGCGAGAGGTGTAATTAGTGAGGTGATCAACATTCCCCAGACTGCAAATGACGCGCAGCCCGGACTCCGAGCAGCCCCGAGCCCCGCGCTTTCCAGCGCTGGGAGCGCGGCGGCGGGAGCCCGGGACGCGGCGGCCGCGGAGAGGGCAGGGACGGGGACCTCGGGGCTCGCCCCCCACGAGCCCCTGCGCGCCCGACTCCTAAACTTCATTAGACACACACACACACACACACACACACACACACACACTCAGCAGGGGAAGGGGGTCAAACCTTAAACACCGCAAAAGCAATGCTCTTTAACCACTCTTATTTTTTTTCTTTTTAATTTTAATGAGGCAAAGTCATTATTAGCAGAATAGAGATTTGTTTACTAGGGAGCTTTAAGCAGAAATGGGAGTTAGGGCAATGGAGAGTTTAGCTCTGCTTTGTAGATTCTGCTACATCCAAGAACGCACGTTAAGGGCGAAATGCAGGGACCTGGGCAAATATGCAGATATATGTAAATAAAGGATGCCTGACTATGTGCATGGCCCGCTTTGCCCAGCCTATTTCACAGGAGGAATTGCACTCCGCCATCCGAAGGCACGCTATTTAAACGAGTATCTTTCGCTTGCACATGCAGGGGAGAAAAAACCAGGGCAGGGAGGATGGAAGCAGTTAATTTAGTCAAAGTAAACTTTTTAATAAGAAGAAGAGATGACTGCAATAGTGATAGTGGGGGTACGGTTCTAGCCTTTATGTCATATTTTTTAATATTTTATCAGAATTGCACAAGTTCAGTGTAATGGCTTTAAGAAGACTTATGAAAAAACCTTTCATCTTGTGAGTCTGCTGAATTATCTTTCTTGAAGCATATTATGATGAATTTTAAAACCCCACTACAGATCTCATTAGAATGAAATATACTTAGTATTTTCTGGTACAAAATTTAAGGTGGCTGATTCTCATTTGAAAATCTAATTATCTCTTTCCAGTACTATAGATGTGAATTTGAATGACACTTTCATTAAAAGATAATTAACTAAAACTAGGAATAGACACACTTTTAAATACCCTCTGCTGCATTTTATATATATATATATATATATATATATATATATATATATATCCGTTGTTACTCAGATTCACTGCTACACCACAGGTCACAAGGAGACACCGCCTATGCAATATTTCAAAAATAGGAATTCTACAGAGAAAGTGAGAGGAACAAATAAAACAAGCTAAAAACAGACAATACTTGCAACGTCCAGCTTTCTGGACAGGTGAAGTATCACTTGTTTTTGAGTTAACAGGCCTTTGAAGTTCTGGTTCTCCAGGATCTGCTTCAAGACTTTTTCTTAGGCATTTAGCACCAAGCCTACCTAATACCACCAGAAAGTTTTATTGTATACTCACGAGGAACAACAGAGGCTGCAGACCCACACCTTTCCTGGCCCGAAATGTTGTGTTATCAGGGAACATTTGGAAAATCCCAGGACTAATGCAAATGGGATCAAAACCCCAACAAAACACCTGGAGGATAAAAGCAGAGTCCTGGATAGAGCAGACCCAGGCCCAAGTCCGGGAAGCTGGTTGCCTATGGCAGCTGGCTAAGGTTCCACTGCGAGTCCACAGGCTCGGAATAGAGAATAAACCCCAGATATGGTCTTTATTAAGAGAAAAAAGCAGAGCACCACCTCAGGATCTGGAGTCTGTAGATACACCAGTGCATTAGAACCAGGGCTACTAAATGTTAGCAGAAAGCAAAGTACTGACATCTCCAAACACTCCACTCCATTTCAAACTTTTTGGGAAGAAATATGCTCTAACTGAACAGCTTTTTAAGATATTTAAGTTACTCTGTTTACAGCTCCACTTTCACACAAGCAGCTGTGTCTCTGTGCGTTGCAGTGTCTGATTGCATCTCACTGGTCTTTCTCCATGTGCCTTCAGAAACATACGTGCCCACGAGGGTGAAATTTAAATTCTCCGTAACTTGCAAGTGAAGAAGGTGTTTATGTAGCATTACTGTTTACCGAAAAACACCCCAGAGAGCAAAAATCCTGGCTTTAAAAAACTATCTGAGGTGTGTGTATGGGGAAAGGGGGTGGGGGCTTTTAAAGAGACTGAGGGGGAAATGAAGGAAGGGAAACTTTCAGGTTCAATTCAGAAAAGATCAAGCCCTTTGCGGGAGAGGGCTCCATGTACAAGCTCACTGATGGAAAAACCATTTCCTGCGATTTCAGACGGGCAAATGCGTGCGATGAAGGAAACACCTGAGAACAATAAGTCTGTTTCAGGCTCAGGTGAAGAAAGGGGTTTATTTCTGGCAGGGAAGAAGAGGGAAATGATGACCATTTCATTTTCAAGTTCTCCTTTATTTCTTTTGCCTTTTTCTTTCTGAAACATCATCAATAACATTAATGTCATTAATGTCAAAACACCAAACATCAAATCAGGAAAACCGTTTAAAAAATTTGGTGGCTATTTCTCCTCTACCCCCACCTCCTCTCCTTTGAAAATACAGCTGTCTGGGGGCGGGGGGGGGGCCCGAGAGCGGTTATTGAATTATAAGTAAGAAAACAAAAGGAAGGAGGATTTGTAAGAGGGGCGCTCACTTTTGCAATTCCTCCTGCCAGCGAGTATTCACCTTCTAGCGTACTTGTTTTCTTTTTAATCATCTTTTCCCTCTTCCCTAAGAAGAGAAGCTGGGGTGAGAGTCAGGGTTAATGGGCTGAGAGGAAGGGGCAGAGAGGGACTAGCCCCGAGTCAAGAGTTTCCTCCAGGGCTCGGCCTGGGAGCGCTCCGGCGCCGGGGAGGGAGCCGGGGCCCCAGGCAGGGCACTGCAGGCTGGGCCCCGAGGCGCAGAGCGCGGTGCCCAGGGCAGGGGCAGGGCGAGGCGGGCGAGCTCGAGCTCGGCCCGCGGGCTGCTCTGGGGCACCGGCACGATCTGCCAGGCTGGACTTGGCTGCGTCACGGCCCCTGGGTGCAGGAAACCCAGCTGTTCCACTTGGGTCCCTGCAGACCCTTGGCCATCAACCTTTGACCCTGTCCCTCCTCCCCATTCCTCTATAGCTAAACTCTGCGCGAACCCGCCGCCACCCTCCTGGAACGCTGGGCTACTTTTTATTTCAAAGTGAAAGGAGCAGAGGCGTCCCTGCGTCACCAAAAACTTTCCCTAGACCCTCCTCTGCACTTTCCAGGGCTACCGCAGCCAAACCAAGCCCACTCTGGGGCTCTCGGACCCTGCACCGAGCACGGAATTAGGCGAGATCCCAAAAGGGACACCAGGTGGTTAGGTGTTGAGTGTTGGAAGCAAGGGGTAATTAACATTGAGACAAAAGGTAATTTCCACTTCCAGACTTTTCCTCGGCGTATTTTATTCCCCAAATCTACTATGTCTCGGACACTCCGGGCTTTACAATCCGTTTACCGAGTCTTCAGCTGTCTCACTCCTCAGTTCGCTAAGAAATACCCCAGCCCCCAGCCCCACGTGCCGCCAGCCCCGGAGCAGCTTCAGCCCGAGGGGAAAAGGTTCCCAGTCTAGTGACCGAGCCTCCGGGGTCTACAGAAGTGCTCAGTTTGAAACAAGGTATTACAAGATTTCAGCCTCAGGAACCCTTGACAACGCCACAGACGCTCGAGATCCTCGGCCGCCCTCCCCCCCCCTTCCTTCTTTTTGTTGGATCTTCTCCACACGGGGGCTATTTAACAAAGGCAGTCTGTTAACTAACATGTTGTTTAACTCAGCAACTCCTTTCCGAAACACACTTCGACGTGATACCAAGGTCTGTCATTTAGTGTGCGTGGGAAGGTGAGAAGGTGGGGGTCATGTGTGTGCGTAAGGGGGCGACGTGCAGTTGACAGAGAATCGGAAAGTGCAGGGCTTCTTTGGGAAGGCGTCACAAACGCATTATATTTACAATTAAATAATTCAAGAAATCGCCTGAGAGAGAGCCAGATTTCTTTACTAGAAAAAAAGGGGTACATTTTCCAAAGAACTAAAGAAAAGTGGGTATTTGAAATATAACCTAGCATCCAGAGTGTATACTCACTTTGTGGTGTGTGAATTACATGAAAAGACATTCAGAAAAAGGAAGGCATTTTGTGTGTGTGTGTGTGTGTGTGTGTGTGTGTGTGTGTGTGTGTGTAGTTTTGTGGGCACGGACTCCCTCCCCTCCCCCAACCTGGCTCTTATCTCCTTTGTATAGAAATGCCCCCAGCTCTGTCTCTAACTATATACTTCCATACTCCTGTATATTTCTCTCTTCCTACAGTCCATTTGTTTATTTAACTTTAATCTGTTCTACTGTCTTTTTTTTTTTTCTTGGAGGTTTGACCTGTTTTTATTTGGGTATTGGGTGGGGTTGGTCATTATGTAAAGTTACACTCAGGTAAAGTAGGGAGGAGGAGGAGTTCTAGAGGGTCTGAGGAAGGAATCCAGAGAGGGAAGGGGGGGAAGAGGGAAAAAGAAAAGTCAGCCGCCCTCTGGCCTTTCCGAGGTCAGGGCTCAGACTGTGCTGTGACCTCCTTTCCCTCTAGGCAACCAGCCCAGTGTTTATAAACAAAGTCAGGCAGGGCTGATCTCAAGCACTTCCACAGCTCATATGCAAATTAATGAGGACTCCTGATCAACACTGAAACTACACCCCCCACCCCCCAGCACACAGACACACATTCACACCAGCCAAACAACGCAGGATCCAAAGCATTCCCTTCTCAAAATACAAGGATCTATTTCCAGCTAGAGTATCCAACGAACATTTTGCATTCCATCTGGGGAAGAACTCTAAGAGACAGTGATGCACAATGATGCAGATGGGAAAAGACAGACAAGTGGGGGAAAAAAGGGAGAAAGAATAACGGTGATTTCATTGAAGAAAAGATAAAATTGTGATCTTTGAAAGCCTAAAATAGCTATATCTAGTCAATGGAATCCTGTGTAAACTCCGACCACCAAATATAATTATTTTAAAACAAGATACTACAGTCATCCAAGCGTTCATATTTCCCAGACAAAAGTGCAGATCTTTATAGTTGAATAAAGCCACTCACTATGTAATGATCCTAAATATTAGATACAACAAAACCATTAAATCCCACAGTAAAAAGAAAAAAACAGACCATCTGATCTAAGTTATAAAACAAACTTAAATCATTCTTTAATTACAAAAACACAGCTTAGCAGAAACTAAATGTTAAATCAAAGATTTTGGAAACAAATATTGTTTGCCAAGGTATAGAAATGATAGCTTTACATTGTAACCAAAACTCCATTTCAGGAATAATTAATTACAAGATAGAAAAAGGTGCAAGCAAAAAAAAAGTAATTAAATGATTTTTAAACTTTTGCTTTAAAATGATTTTCAGTGAACGTCTAAGAGAAAAAGGCTAAAGAAACTATACCTCAGAGGGAAAAGATCATCTTCTTTTCTTCTTTGTCTATCAGTCCCCTGTTAAAGCATATGGAAAATGTTTTCAAAACGCCCAGATTTGGCAACACTGTCATAGCAAAGAGAGGAGCACAGTGGTGCTGTTCGAGAAAATGGGAAATAAATTCAGGATTGGGTGCTGCCTCCTTCAATGCGGATTTATCTAAGTTTAATTTAATATTCCGCAATCACTGGATGATCACATATAATTCACCAAGATTTTAAAAGGCTTTATTTAAATACCTCGAGCAAGAAGAGAATGAAATTTAAACCATTGCAACCATTGCTGATGTTTTTTTATTTTCCCATTAGAACTTTAAGTGGCAGTTTCTAATAAAAGGGAAAACGATAAACGTTTTGTTTTTTTAAGGGGAGAGTCCTCGAGGAAAGTATTAGCTTTATTAAAATCATTCTGAACATAAAATCAAAAAGCACAAAATAGTTGTTTGTAAAACACTAAACCTTTAATCGATTTTATTGGCATTCCGATCGATTAGATAAACGGAAATCTATAGCAAACATCAAAGCATTTAAAACATTTTTTCTATCTCATTTATAAACAAAACTTGTCAAGAGAAAAAAATTATCAAACGACTAACAGGAAATTCTTCAGATATCAAATTACGATAATAAAATTATTTCCACATGGAAAGGGATAATGACAATGATGATAGTAATTACAATGATGAATAATTCAACAACCCTTTGACATGTATGGAAGAACCTCGAGCAGAAACTGTCTTGGAGGGGGGGCTACTTTAAAATAAATACTTTATTTTTAAAGTAAATATTTCATAGAGACACTCAAGGGGATTAGTTTAGGTGTGGCTCTCGGACTCCTCTGAATTTCCCTGCAGTTGCAGAGGAGTCAATTTCTTTGCCAGCGTCTTTCTTTCAAATTGAATTACTTCTTGCCAGCAAAAATTAATATGCAAATGTCAGGGCGCCCTACCAGGTTTACAAACTTGCGTCTGGACTTGTCTTCCTACCCTAAAAGGTGATTCCTAAATTATGGGGGGAGGGGAGGGGAGGGGAGGGGGGGAGGAATCGACTCCTCAAATCTGAAGGTGATCACACGGTTTGATCTTTTAAGAGAAGGGAAACAATTTATTAGGAGATAGGAAAACTGCTGTCCCGAGAAACGCAGTCCTCAGAGAGCATGACATTCTATGGGCAGCAAGAGGACGTGTTTCTGTAACGGGTAATAAGTTTATTTGTTAAAGAAAATCAATGAAAGTGACTGTGAAGTAGTTCGTGAAGCACGTGTTTGGGACTCGCGGCTAACCCTGCAGGCTGAACCAGCAGCCCCTGTCCCTGCCGAAAAGTCCCCGCGTCGCCCCGAGCCCGGCGCACGCTGCGCGGCGCCTGGTGTCCAGCTCCCGGTGCTACGCGCGGCGCCCGGTCCGCCGCCCAAGTCGCTTCAGTAGCGACACTTCTGACCCTGGGTCCCGACAGTGGCTCCTTCCAGTGGCCTGTGGCTGCCTTTCCACACCCTCGCTCGGCAGCCCGCACCTTGTTCTTCTTCCTTTCTTACTGACTCTTGTCCTTCCCTCCCTCCTTTTCGATACAGGTCTGAACGAACTTCTACACTTCTTCGCTTGCGATCGGAATTTCACTCTTCGGAATCTCTGTCTTCTCGGTGAATCGCCCAGTCCTTCCCACCAGCCCCTCCCCCAGGGTTCTGTCCTGCCTTTTCTTTAGTACCCGGGCACTGCTTTGCAGTCCTCCAGACATTCCAGAGAGTTCTCCTCGCACCAGAACCAGCATTGGCCTCCTCCTCCTCCCCTGGATAGGTGTGGGAGGGGGTGGATTTCGAGTTGAACTCCCAAGGGTTTTTATTCTGTTCTTTTAACAGCTTCACTTTCCCTTTTCTTCTTTGCATAACCTTCACCTACCTACTAATTTATAACAGAAGCGGTTCTTTCCCTTTCCTTGCGCGGTTTACAGTTTCCGTCGGGGCTGCGCGCCCACAACCCTGCGTCGCCAGCCGCCTGCCAGCCAACGACTTCCATCTATTCGGTTGCCGTCTAATTGCTCTTTATCTTCGCAGAGTAAGTTGGTTTCCAGGATCTAAAGTTCCCACGGTAGCGCCTCTTTATTTTGCCAAATTACTTCGTTGCCCCAGTGAAGGGTGGGGCGTGGGGGGAGGTGTATCACCCACCCACGTCCCTTTTAACACCCTTTCCTCCAAGTCCCACCACTCGCCCTGGTCACGTTTTGTGTGAATAATAACGGATTCTGGCAGGGTTTTCCTCCAATGCGGACAGATCGCTTAGGAATTATTCCTCTGGTGTCTAGTGGTCAGCATTCCCACCTCCCCCATCATCTCCGCCCTCACTGCGGCCCGGCTGCGGGAGGGGAGCGCGGCCCGAAGACCTCGTCCTCCTGCTTCTGGTTTCTCGCTGCTGCAGCTGACGCTGAAATTCGCTCTGGCCGCTGCCTCTTCCCGCTTTAATCCCAGACCTCCAGTCATTGGGCAGCTCCTCAGAGGCAAGAAGTCAACACCATGGCAACCCGACAAGCCTATCAAATCACCGGCTGGCGTGACCGCGGCAGGGTTGTAGACGAGAGTGGGCTGGGCAGAGGAACAGAGAGGCCACTAGCTCAGGTACACAGTCTGGGGGTGGTCAGCAGCTGTCAGCCTCCACCGTCTGGCTACACAGATGTGCACCACCCAGTTCATAGCCGGACCCTAAATTCCCTAGTAGGTGAGGAGGAGGAGGGGGAAGGGTGTGGATAGGACTGAGATTGTTGCAGAAGAGCTTCAAGCTCAAAGTCACCAAAGCCCTAGATTCTGTGAACTAAAGATGCCTTGAGCCTAGAGTGGAAGGAACCACCAAGTCACAACAGCCTCAGAACCAATTGTCAGAACTTGGCCCAAAGGTGTGTTTTTTTTTTTTCTTCAACAGTCCTGCCACTGGCTTAAAAAAAAAAATTAATGCAACATTCTGCTTTGAGTGGGAAAAGGATAAAGGAAAATGTTGCCTGTTGAACTTTTACTGTCTGCCCGTGTTGGGATATATATAAAATATATCTCAATATCGATTTCAGCTATGCCTTGGAACCGTCCTAAACTTTACCTGAAATTGCATTTTCCTTGTTTTTTCATAAACTGCGTGCTGTTTGTCATGTGTGGCCTAGATTTTGATTCTCTGAAGAGAAGAAACAAAGGAGACTTGAAAATGGGTAACTAGAAAATCTGTGTGTCCCTCCTGGGCCTACTCAGCCTTTGTATTTCCTTGTTTTCCTTGAGAAAGTCCCCAGAAAGACAGGACTTCCGTTAACATTTCAGAGCATCTTGTTCATAGGATATAGACTGACTTGCATTTTTCTTTCTTGTTTTTAAAGGCAGACAATGTTTTTGAGAAACACACAACATATTATTTCTGATTAGCTTATAATTTCATTGTGAAAACTTTCAACACATATTTGTTCAAGACTATAGAATGCTGTCAGTGACCATATGTTCCCTTCTGCCACTTACATCGTTGCTGATTTCTAAATTTCAGAATGTAAGTTGGTCTCCTAAAAAAAAGAGAAATCCACTTAATAATAATGTTAATGTGTCATTTTTGAGAACACCTTGTATGAAATCTAAAATCAACCCTTAAGTCCACTGCACATAAACAAAATCTACTATATACACAATTTTCATATTGATCTAACATTTATTATGGAGAGACTTTCAGTGTGGAAGTATTTAAGTTACACTTGGCATGCATAAAACACTGTAGCACTGGAAAGGTTTCTTAAACAGTGATTGTAATATTAAGAAAAGTAGGACAGAGCCAATTTTGTGGCTCTACCCAGAAATTTAATGAAATCTTGAAATTCATTTTCTTCCTTTCTCTATATTTCATTGTTGATGGATTCTGATAGTTTGAAATAGTACATCTCCAAATATAACCTTATTACATACAAAAAAAGGGAGTATTGATAACTGACACTGGAGAACAGGTCATAAGATACGAGAGAAAACTTTTGGACATAATATAATCTTCCCTGCACTGAGACTCTACTAGCATTCTGGTGACATTTTTTTTTATTCTGTGCCACTCTACAGTTCAACGATGAGCTGCGGAGCACACAGAGTTGAAATTTGGTCATAGTTTAAATGGCTACCTCAATGCCGAGTTATTGATATCTTCAAATGTTTTGGGCTAATCCACATGACATTTGATGTGCACTGACTGTTTACAGTGGCAAATGTCAGAAGAAACAGAATACTCTAATTGTAAATTAAAATGCATGTTTCTGATCTATCTCCCAGAACCTAACTTTTAAATTTAAGATGTTTTTTAAAAGAAGTTAAATGAAGTGTACAAAACTCTTTTAGTACATTTTGGTGGCAGTAAGAGTACATGGACACAGGAAATGTGATAACATTTAAAATTTCATTGTTTCTTTTAAGGGTATATCTTTAGTTACTGGAAAACTTTAAATACCTTAGGATCTATAATATTCTTTGTGAATGAATGTGTGTGTTTATGTATAGTGGTCAATGACATGAACAGAAACTGTCATTCAAATGTTCTTCCATGTGTAATATTTATAATTTTAAAAGCATTAAAATGAGGCAGAATTAATAAATTAGTAAATTGCATTTAAACCAAAACAAATATCTAGATATTCCAGTAGATCTGTTGAGTTTCTTAGAAATTGCTATTTTTTTTCCTTTTTACATAAGCTTGCTATGTATGGATGATTGAAAAATAAAAGATATTATACAGAGAATTATTTTCTAACCACAAATCAAATTTACTGTCTGTCCTTAAAAGTACCCTCCTATCACAATATATGACCTTCTATTTAAATATGGATTTGTATACCTACCACACACATGTCGCTTAGCTCTACATTCAAATATTTACATTTAAAGCACATTTCTATACCACTAATATTTTCAGTACGGATGCTGATGGAAGCAGGAAATTTCTCTATTTTAGCTAATGAGTAAGACAGGGAAATTAAATATAGTTTAAACACTAAATTTAAAAAAAAATCAATGCATGGATGCCTTGCTCATTTTCATCCGAACGAATACCATCTCCATAGAGTTCATTCTTGACCTTACCTGAGTAAGTACTTCAACTTAAAGTCTGAGATGCACCTAGAGGGGTAATAATACATTGCACTTAATAGGAAGACAGTTAATAACCTTTCTTCATCCCCACGCACCATCAATCAAGGCTGTCACCAGTGTGCTGAATCAAAGCAAAAGTGTTCTTCACAGATGACTGATTAGAAACGCAAAATCACAAGATCCATCTTCATGGTCACTTTTATTATAGTCATTTTTAAACTGACAGCAACCTGTTCAGTTTCAGCACACTGGGCATCACAAATAGTGTCACTCAGTGCAGCTAAGCATGAGAAGAGGCTGGTCGGATTATACTTAAACATAATTAGGTCCTCAACTCTTTGTGGAACTAAGAAAAAGGTATTCCTCTCTCCATCACTCCTATTCCGTCTCCTGGTAACTTGTTTTGATTCTACTGTATTATTAGTTTACCATCCTGAAGGGAGGCAGTGCAGGGTACAGATTCCTGCTTGTCAATTATTTAGGAACTAGGGAATAAATGTGTCTTCTGAGAGTTACAGATAACTTTTTGCTTACTGCTTTTTGTTAACTTCATGAAAAAACAACAACATTGCTAGCCTAAAAGTTAGTGAGGGTTCTTTTTATCCAGATATATGTTTTTGGACTAAAGCCTTGAGAAACTGGATAGTCAGATATTAGTAATGATACTCACTGACAAGACTCTTCTCTTAACAGTATCACCTGAATGCTGTAGCACTGGAATTACTGAGGTTAGAACTATTTGAATGCATAATATTCAAGGTGGCTGAGATATTAACTATTAGGTAGCTATGTAAATTATCGATATTATTTTTCTCAGCCCTAGAATATTTTTGTAAGTGACAAATTTGAAAAACCAACAAGTAGGTGTATACATATATCATTAAAAGTGGTAGTTTAAAACAATTAAGTCAGAATGAAATGGAACTTTACCTTTATTAAGAGTCTTGATCTTTATGCTACAGAGATGATCCTTTCAGATTTATTTCATCAATACAAGTATTTACATGGAAAAAACTTGTAGTAGAAAAATCTCATACTATGTTGTGAATCCCCTGCCATTTTATAGGCTCCTCATTTTATATTTCAAAAAAGAAAACCCAATTAGACTTAATATTTAATTTAGTAATTTTAAACAAAGTGCCCCAATTTAAATTTTTATACACTTACCTTTTCTTTTAATCCCAAATGCTCATTTTCTTGTTATCAGCAGAACACAAACATGTACAGGGGGGAGAGAGACAGAGAGAGTGAGCACAGAAAAAGGAAAAAACACTGCCAATGATATTTCTTTATACAGCACAGTACCTTCATATTGATTTTCACATATATTAATAGTCTACCTTTAATACCTCTCTGTAAAGCTACACATTTTTTCTGTCTCTACACACGCACACACACACACCTTTACTGCTTTATTCTAGATTATGAGTATTCTTTTCTTCACTACACAAAATTTGTAAGCAAGATATATATATATATACTATATATATCACTAGATTTATATCTTTATCATTAGATATACAGATGTATCATTATATATATACAATACACAAATTCAATATAATGGTATATCTGTATCTTCCACAACTGCCAATAGATGCATGAATGCACTCTATGTATAAGAAGACTAATATTGATTTCCTTAAATATTGTACTCTGCTTATATACATATATTTCTATAAGCATATGGATTTAAAATAAAGAGATCATAAAACAATTAAATAATTAGCTATCTGACTTTTTTTGGTTCAATGAAATTGTCCTAGAATTTAAGAGATGTATTTGTTTTTTGTTATTTAAAAATATTTCTACTTTATAAAACATTAATAATGATAATACTTATGACATATTAGACATGAAAAATTAGGATTAAATAATTGTATACTGCAAAAGCTATATAATTACACAGATGATGATGTAATAATCACCTTAATAGGTTTGTTTTCAGTTTACATAAAGATTAAAAACCTAATTTCTCCTGACAAAATGTATGTGTGGGAGCTAGGGGAGTATGTGTGTCTGCTAAGTTTGGACATGTTTATACTTTCAAAAAGAGAATAATACTTCATAAATTTTAATATGATTACTTTAAAGTTAATTTTTGGTATGAAATATTTTTCCTAACTAGGTTATACTAGTCAGAATACTATGGAAAGGTGATTTATTTGAAATATCTGGACTCAGTATAGCATTTTTTGCTACTAAAACTAATTCCATGAAATGATATGTATGGATTTTGGCATTATCTTGATAATCTATGCAGGCAGCCACTATAGATCTTAATATTAATTTTTGATATACATCATAAATATGAGTGTTCACAGGTTTACCAAAATTATAGATCTAAAATCATGTTTTCCTTTATGGATGGGACTTAATAAACTGAAAACACAAAAATAATTTTTATTTACATTTTAGAAATATAATCAAAACTTCAAAAATCAGTTTTTTGAAAGTTATTATGAAGCATTGCATATTTTGTGTTTTGACATCATTTGAAAACAGCATTCACTTACATTTAAATCAATGTGATTAATTTAGAAAGTGTCTTGGGAAACTTTCTAAAAATTATTTTAGAAATTGTTTTTTATCTCTAATTTTTCATAGACTATTTTGTTGCTGTTAGTTTTAAAAATTTATCTTAATTTGTGTGCATTGTTTGTGCTTACATTTGCTTCCTTGAGAGTGTTCTTATATCTAAGTTAATACGTAAAGCATATACTATAAGAATTTTGCATGATAAAGGGACTAGCAGGAAACTCTTATAATTTAATTAGTAGGAATACACCTAATCTGTAACTACAAAGTGATCAAATTATATTTTAAACTAAAAAGTCTAACAGTGTTACAGCATTTCAGTACGGGCTGAAATTTATATTTGTGCTTTCCATGTGGTATATATATATACATGAATACATATACATAATTACACCTAAATACTATCATATTTAGATTATTGACCTCTTTAAATGGTAGCATGTTCTCTGGCAAACAGATACTGCAATTATCTTTGCTATACCTGCCTATGCGCAGCCTGAATATTCAGTTATGGCATATCTCTCTTTTCTGGGGCATGATTTTCCCTGGGTTCTAGAATTGTTCTTTGTTGAATCTTTGGGAGGGGGGACTGTTCTATGAGTGTCAGTTTTCAGTAAATGTGTGAGAAGATGGTATGGTTTGGATAGACTGGCCGCCTTTTAATGTGTCTTTTCTACCTGGATTCAGAGCTGTCTCCCAACTAGTGATTTTTAAAAAGAAAACAAATGAAAAGCAAAGGTCACATAAAATCACCTTTAACATTTTATAGTAAACAAGAGAAAATATTGAAATATTTACAATAGTGTGTTATGTAATTTTATTTTAATTGCTTTCCTATATTATTTTTAAAACTGTTATCACCTATTTAAAATTGTCATATTGTTTAACTCTTACTCTTTTCTCACAAAAAAAGGAACATAGTCCTTAAAAATCTCCTAAACTGAGATGAATATTTTCTCCACTATTCCTATTCCCCGAGTCTTTTTGCTACTCAGCAATAATGCTAGAGGATGCATTTTATAACAAATAGACTATTTTGATCAGTACACTTTATTCTTACCTATTTTGGTTTCCAAATAAATATGGAAATAGAGTTAATGACAACTTTTCAGGACACCCTCCAAGACCTTAGGGATATTTTTAAGGAAAAAAATTAGTATACTATGATATAAAGATTTCTTTTTTGATAGCTAAAGCTTTCTATGTAAACCTTCACTTATGTATTACACAACCACTGAAGAATTTTAATGTATTGCAGTTCATTTTGCAATATTTGCACAAACATTCAAAGTAGTATTATGTTGCTTAGTTATTTCATTATATCATATTCTGCATTTAGAATTTCATTTCAATTTTCCCATTTTCAACATTTGGATGTCATCCCATTAACTATCATAAACCAGTAGTTTAAGGAGGGGTAATTCTGAAATGCAAACATCTCTCCTAGAATTTTACAGCCTTGCCATCCATGGAAGAGAAAACAGGGACGAGCATTACTTTTCCACAAACATTTTTCTTTTATGATTATAAGAAAAGATCAGATGCTGTGGCAATTTTTTTCATATGTGATTTTTCTTTAGAATTATTTTCAAAGTCAACTGTTCTTAGACTTTATTTCATTTCCAAAAGCATTGTGTTTTGCTTCTTTGTAAAATATTTCTTTATAACATTTTTTGTTTAATTCATTTTTAGCACAAGAAACACCCAAGCTCAATCTGGATACCTCTTTCCAACATAATTTAGCTGGACCTTTTCTTAGTCAAGGTTTTCTGGTTTTCATTTTCACTTCATATTCTCAAATAAAAGATCCTTTGTTGTCTACCATTTGATTGGACTTAATGAAAAACACTCCATTTTAACTTAACAGTATTTCCTTTTGAATTTATTATATTTAAGAACACTGTCAAAAATCAAACATTTAATCTCAGGTTTTTATATTTCAAAATATATTACTATCACATGGCTCAGTGAGGTGATGTAAAAGTA